CCCACATGGAGCAGATCTCCACACTGCAGCCCGTGGAGGAGCCCCCGGTGGAGCAGGTGGATGTGGCCTGGAGGAGGCTGCGGCCCATGGAGAGCCCCCGCAGGAGCAGGGCCCGGGCCGGAGCTGCAGCCCATGAAGAGGAGCCCATGCAGGAGCAGGGGGCTGGTGGCCGCTGCCACCCATGGGGGACCCGTGCTGGAGCAGTTTGTTCTGGATGGATTGACCCTGTGGTATGGAGCCATGTGGGAGCAGTTCTTGAAGAGCTGCTGCCTGTGGGCAGCCCCTGCAGGCTCAGTTTAGGAAGGACGGCATCCCGCGGAAGGGACCCCATGGGGAGCAGGGGCAGAGAGTGACCGTGGAGGAACAGAGGAGACAAAGCATCAGGAACTGACTGCAGACCCCATTCCCTGTTCCCATACAGCGCTCAGGGGGAGGAAGTGGAAGTGGGTGCATGGAGGAAGGTGTTTCTGGTTTCTCATTGCTCTAGCTTGTTGGTAATAGGTAATAAATGACATTAATCTCTGTATGCTGTTTTGCCTGTGATGATAACTGGTGAGTGATCCCCCGTCCTTATCTCAGTCCTTGAGCCTTCTTCCACTGTATTTTCTCCCCCTTTGCCTTTGAGGAGGGAAGTGAGAGAATGGTAGTGCTGGAGTTCGGCTGCCCAGATGGGTAAAACCCCCACACAAGAAGCCTTGGATGCAGGGCTCTTCCACAGCCTGGATGCTGCCATACAAGGACCTTGTAAATAGCACAGCAAGGCTGCCACCACTCTTTTATCTACCACACCCGACATCACATGACATTTCAGCATTATACCTGGGGAAAGACCATGGTTTCAACCATTTAAGAATTTGGCTTTAAATAACTACGTGAGTATATTTCTTATTCCTACATAGAAATAATGGTTATTTTACTCTGGGGAATTTCTAAGACACTGTTAATATGGATTTATTTCCTCTTTTACTTTGTAATGGAAAACACAGTAAACAGGTGCTAAGTAAAAAGGATGTTATAGACCGCCTCAATTACTGCGCTGCTATTTTCAATTACGTCTTTGTACTACAGTCACTGATCTCTAGACACCTGTTTTTCTTCTCAGAGCAGGACCTTACAAGAGGCCAAGAGATTAAACTGACAGGGCTAGTTTTTTGTTGTTGTTGTTTGTTTTTGTTTTTGTTTTTGTTTTTGTTTGGGGGGGGGGGGGTAAGAAGAAACTGCTGAAAATCCAAAATAGTACTACTGTGTAAATAAACCATTTAAGCAGATGTATTTTCTGTGCCCCCTTAATCTGCTGTTCTTGGAAAATGAAGCAGGTGACTGTCACAATGTCAGTATGCCACTCCGAGCTATGTTTTCACTCATAGAGCGGCAGCAGTTGTGGCTTTTGGTGGTGGTGGTTGGTTTGTTTGTTTTGTTTTTTAACTTTGCAAATTTTCATTCTCAGCCTGGCACTGCTGCCGCCTGGGACTGCCAGCCGATGCATCACACATGACAGAGCCACACCACTTCGTTCTTAAGGCAGTAGCTTTCATTTGCTCAGCATCAAACACACCATAAGCAGTTCAAAGCATTAATTCTGCCCCTGACATGTTCAATCACGTTATGCTCAGTTGAAAACCACCTACTTAAGTCACATGTATCAGCTGAAAAAATAAAACACACAGAAATTACCTCTGCAGTGAGTTTTTAGAGGTATGATTTGGACAGGTGGCTTCCATCACGTACTTAATACAACAAAAAGGGAGAAAAGGGGACACCGTCCCTGCCAAAAGGGAATACCTTTTGGTCAGGTTGCCCAAAGCCCCATCACACTCACGTGCCTGGAAACACCAGGACCTCAGCGGCTTTCCTAGCTGCTGTTTTGTGGTATGCTTACTGCAGGGACGAGAAGCATGCCAGAGCTGCCACGGCTGTGTGCGAAGCCAGCTTACCTTGCAAGCAGCAGGGAGCCGAGGGTGGGAAGCTGATCCTTAGGAGAGGCCGGTCCACATTCCTGCCGCAGCGCCCGGCAGCTGCTGCTGTCACTCCCTGGTCCACCCTGCTTGCTCTGTAAATACTCACGGAGCAGGAGGTAGCAGGCGTGGAAAAAGAGGGCAACGTTACGTGCACGGCCAGGCTCTGCTTTGCATGTGAGGAAGCAGTTACGGAGAGCCTTGCATATCGTGTACAGGGAATGGGAGACTCCCGGACGAATTTTCTCCAAAGGGTCAAGCTGGAATACTTCTGAAGACAAAAACAAGGAATGTTATTTTAACATTATGATAAACTGAGTCTGAGAGATCTGAGCCTGCTCTGACACTGTAGCTTGTGGAAGCACTTTGTTTTCTTTGTGACTTTTTGACTTTTCCTGACTTTTGTCTTCTCTTCATGCCTTTCACAACTTCATGACTTCAAGCCAGATATTTTAAAGTAGACTAGCCAAGGCAACATTGTGCTGGTGAGGTCCTACATCTGCTGTCCTCCAGCAGTACAGAGAGCCATGGAACAGCTGAGCTCTTTTCTGCTGAATATCTGTGATTTCAGCTATATACATGCAACGACACTAAATGTTGCTGCTATATCACAGCAATGTAAAAGATTCCATGCTGGGAGATACACTGCAATAGACACATCACAAAACAAATCACCCCACCCCACATTCAGTGGTGCTGTCCACCTTGCCTTCCCGCACAACCAGAAATTTGTGGTACTGATGACACGTGGCTAACGAAACACATTAGGAAAGCACTCCATGCCTTCCCAGCTATCTTACAACTGAGGTGTCAGCTGGGAACAAGGAGAAGCCCGTTCCCCAGAGAGCCAGCGATCGCTGCACAGGCAGCAGTGTGCTTTTCCAGGTTCCTCCGCAGCAGGCACCAGGAAGCAGGATGTGAGCTGTCACGGACAGAACAACTCCCACCGCACCTTGCTTTCGCCTTCTGTCTGCCCACTCTTATCAAACACAGAACCTGAAAAGAGACATTACTCAGTGCTGATAAGGACGCCAGAATCTCACCTCCACCTGTGTTCCTCCTCTGTAGGAGGAAAGTGGAATGTAACCACCTGCCCCAGCACCTCCCATGGAAATGTACAGGATATTTTGCGTAAGTAAAGCCTGAACAAACACGTAGCAGAGGCTTTGGGTGACGTGTTTTGTGGAGTGACATGTTCACCCGCAAGCCATTGGTTTGTTTGTCTGGGTTCTTCCATCATTCTCTAGGGTTCATTTGTCTTTTTGCATTGTTTCCCCCACACACAGAGCGTTACCACCATAAATTTATACCCACAGCAGAATTCTCTACACTGCAGTATGAAATCTGCCTTTACAACAAATTCAGCTGAAAAGAACAAAGACCCAAGTGTTAAAAAGTTATCTGAATACTGACAGCATCCGGTTAAGAGCACCTAATTTTAATAGCAAAAGTTTTGATTTCTAAACCCACAAGCAGGGTCCAAAAACCAATGCACATCGCCTTGCTGTTTTGCCAAACAATCATTACAAGCACAATTAAATTCAAAAGCCTTATTAAATCATGATCCAGAACATGCAAGGTGCACTAACACAGCACCTCAACTCTGAAGCATTTTGGAAAATAACTTACTGCCTAGGGAAGAGTAAAAAACACATATCTATGCCTGAGGAGGAAAAATAATGAAATTCTAGAGTTCTCAGCAGACCTACTTCATTTCACTTACTCAACTACAGTTTATTCTGCAACCCAGGAGATGGCTTATAACTGGAATGAGATTACTTTTTCTGCAGTCTAGCAAGATATAATTAGTCAACAATAAACTGCACATAACTAGCTGGATTGCCAAAGCATTTATGGGTTCCGAGCTTGATGATATTTTTGCAATATGCTTTGATCAAACACTGTATCATGATGGAGAAACACTGCTTGTTTTGGAGCAACAAAAGGGATGGGAACCAAATATTTTTAATATAATTTCTCTTATTGACATCATATAAGCTGATTTTAATTAAAATGTTTCTGCACATAATATATAATAAATGTTTCTGCACATAATATATAATATAATAAAGCAATAGCAGATTCTAAAGTAATGTTTGTTTTGCAAATGAATGAATAGTAGTTTAATATTCCTACTGCTGATAAATTATCTTCAATTAAAATGCTGACGTACAGAATAATGAAAAAGCTGTAGTGGATGAGTTAAGAGTCAAAAAAAAATCCTGATATCATACTGCTATTGTGAATCTATTTTTTTCCAAAATAAAATAACAGTTTCATCAGTCGAAAATATTGCTCTAACCATGTGATAGCAGTACTCTCCTGGGAACTTCCCTGTTCCTGTAAAGCCAGCTACCAGCACTCAATTCAAGTCATACATGAATAAGCATCTCAGAAATCTGTCAGAATGTGAAATAAAAAGAAGAGGATATACCATGCCATTGAGTTATGATATATCATATTATATTTACAGGTGAAGAAACTGTACACACATGGTAAACACCATCAAAGCACGCTTCATACACATTAAAAAATGTCATTACATCCCAGTCTAGCAGGACAAGTCTGAGTTAAGGCAGCACTGCAGAGCCCTAAACTGTGTAATCAGTTCCCAAAAGTTATTTGTAGGTACCTTAAAATACATTAGAAAACTGAATAGCAGTGAAAAGAATTAAAGGATTCAACACTGTTGTACATGAACATTTGCTTTTCAATGCTCACCTATACATATTTACACATGAAATACTGCTTATCACAGTAAGGCAAATTTAAGGTGTTCTGTTTATATGCAAGTCAGGAGGGGAAATGAAAGTCTACACAAAAAAAAAAAAAAAATCAAGGGTAAGAAATTGCTTCTTGGTTCACCCTTAGATGCATAGCTGTGTAAGGTGATTTCTTCATTTAGATCCAATAAAAAATAATTTACAGTTCCCATTCAAATCTGATATAGTTGGAGAAACCATTCTTTATTTCACTACAATGAAATATAGAATTCCAATGTAAATAACTTTGCAGGAAACAAACAAACAAACAAAAAACCCACTATTTATAATACAGAAAAGGATCTTTATTCTTATAGAAAACAATATTAAATGGGGTAATCCAAAGGAACCTGCAGGTACACAAAAGGGTAAGCTACATAAACACAAAATGGACACGAGATTTTAAAAAACAGCTATACAATTGTTTTCATTGTGTTTCCAAATGGATAGAGTAGCCTCTGAATAAAAATCATCTGTTCTTCCCATCATTGCATTTAGCTGCTGTAGAATGCACTTACAAGAGGGCATTGAAGCACGTAGGGACATTCATAACCTCACCAGAGCACATTTCTTCAAGTGCACAAGTTCTGGCTGAAGGCAAGTTCAAGGCAACCAAAGACAAACACGGATTGTGCTCCCCCTGTCCCCAGTTCAAATCCATCCTCTGTGTAATGGTTTTACCCACAAATAAGGCATAGCGGTTCAAGTACTACATTAAATGTCATTGAATAATTGGGGGGAAAAAAATCATGAACTCTTTCCAAAAAAGTATTTTACTAGGGAGGATAAAAAGCACTGTTGAGACAGTCCGAATAGGCATGGCTTCCTGTGCCACTGGGCTCCTCCGGCTCAAGGTCCTCCGGATCTGGGGGTAACTGGTCAGTATCTTCATCAGAAGTCGAAGGGCGTGTGAGGATTATTCGAGGTATCTTCAGGATGATGCAAGAGATTGCAGAAAAAAAAAAAAAAGAGTAAGATCAAGAGAAAAGTGTTTAAAAGTGCAATTTTAAAGGTACAGGGGAAGCAGGTAATGAGAAAAAATATGCAAGAGATGTAAAGCCACAGGGGTTTCTGAGGGGTGAAATGATCTGCACCAAAAATTGCAGTGATAGCTAAAGCAAAATTCTGATGAATTGCATTTTCCTCTCATTAGCTAATTTTTAAAGAGGTTCTATAGGGGAAAATAAAACTTTTTAAAAACAGACAAATGAATATGAAAAATATACATGCACTTTTATTTAACATCATGAAATCCATGCACTGGAAAGCAATGAGAATTAATTAAGGACCAAAAGGCATATCAATTGCCAAGCTTTGAAAATGTTCATATTTTAGTTTAGTTAGTGACCAAATATATTTAAGGGAAACATTAAGACAAAACATCAGTGTATCAATTCATTAGCTAATAAATGTGCACACATGGATTGGATTCATAATATCAATTGCTTTTCTGTGAAATTTGTGTTCTTTGAGAGCTATGTTGTAGTGTTTTTAAATTAATTTAAATGCTGAACCGAGAAAAGAAGAACATCAGGTTCTTTATGTATAGCCAAATAATGTATCAGCAATGGCTTGTATAAATGAATGGATTTTACAAATTTAACTCTGATGCATGAGAAGCCCTACTTTTTACTAATATTCCAAAAAAAGTTTAACACAGAATAAAAACAGATATAGCAGTGAGTTCACGTATCTAACAAGCAAGCAACGATGTATAACAAACTGTCCACCTTACCAGTACTGTGAAATTTTCAAGAAAGGCAATATTTCTTACACACCAGTAACTTTGTTGTATTTCCTCAGACCTTATAAGAATGCTTAACGTTGACACCACACAATTCAATCATTGCTGTATTATTTCCCTGCCATGCACCATTTGATTTGGGAAATGACACAAGCACAGAGATGCTCTGTGGCTGCTCAGCTGGGCAGCCAGCTGGTTTCTGCACCCAAGCCACAGAAATTCTTCTCCAGGCTCCGCTGCCCACATCTGCTACGGCTCCACTGTCTGCACAGGACCTGGCACCCCCAGTTCACATGGGGCTGCTCCACACGTAGACACCAAAACACTGCTGTCAGTCTGGATTCTCACCCACCATAATTGTAAACTAATTTTAAAACCAGGTACATTTTTTAGTTATGTTCCCCAGTCTACTGAATATTCACTTCTCTCTCTTTCCCCTCCCATCCTCTCGCTTAGGCTAAGGATGACGCATTGCTGGGAGCTTTCAATGATCTCCATAGACCACAAGTATTGGCCACGCTAATATCTCCTGGGAAGATTTGCTTCTGCCACGCACACCTGACAGCATTTACAAGCTCTCCACCCACTGGATGTTTCTCTTGATTGTGCTCATTGCTAAAAGATGCTTCTTCCTTAGTGATAGCCAGCACCCTTGTGCTACAGCGAAAGTACAGCCTATACGTATTGGTTGGTGTCCTGGGTCATATTTTGGAACTCCACCACCTCTAGAACTAGAGCTGAGGTCTGCATTTTATCTGAAGTTATTTGCAAAGGTATGCAGTGCTGAGCTTTGTATTCCTCTAATAAAGATTTTCTTTAAACATTTCATAACCTCTGGAGCCTGCTTCTTGCATACTACCTTTCAAAAACTACTGAGGGGCAGTCTTACAGTCATAAAGTGAATGTGATTTACTCAGTTTAATGAAAACTGAAAGAAACCCTAGCTGTCAGTGAGGGATAACCCCAAAATTTCAACTAGTAACATGAAGTTCTTGCAGGTCATTCAATTCCATGGCCACCACCAAAGTGCCAAAAATTAGTCTTTTTTTTTTTTTAAATTATCTAAATCTGAAAACCATAAACCTGAGGTTGTAACAATACTGCCACTGTAAAAACAAATCCCACAGGATGTTCAGGTTCTGTCATGACTCGTCTTTTGCATCTCTCCATATGTTTGTTCAACACACTGCAAGCTGTATCCAGGCTTTCACAACTTTCCCCAAAACTTACCTCATTTCCTTAATGACACACTCTCTCCCCTACACCCACGGAGGAATTATGAGGTCTTTCAGACCGCATGGCTCCAGCACCTGAGCTAAAGCTGAGCCTCTGGAGGACACCCCGACCCTGCCAAGAGCATGACAGTCTGCCGTGTCCTGTTAGACACCCACCTGCTCGTACAGCATTTCTGTGGAACACCTATCAGCTGCATTCATGAAATAAGCGGGGTTGGGGAAGTCTTTTGTCTGCTTTTTCATCTTGCTGCACATAAAGAGGAGCTGGTACCAAATGCCTGATCAGCTTTCTGTGGTGAAAACTGAAGTGTTTCTCGGCCCTAGCAGGCTGCAAAGACTGAAAATCTCCGAGAGGAGAGAAGAGGATCAGCTCTGATCCAGCCCCAGCAGGCCCTGTGTGCTCTCCAGGCAGATGACAGCTCTCACACACCCACTCATGCCATTTTGGAGACACACCACTGAGTTTCTACAGCAAGCCAAATTTCTGGTCCAACTGCAGCCATCTCCTCCATCCCTCTGCTTCCTGCACGTCTCTCTTACCCCTCCTCCCTCTCCAAAACCCCCAGTAACCCACACCATGGCCATCCCCAATCCCACTGCTGCTCTGTCCTCTGCGGCTACTTGTCCTGCACTGTGCCCACCTCCCCGATGGGATTCAGGAGCCTCGATTTCCTCACAGCCGAATCACGGGTACCAGTGATGAAACAGCTCTTGGCTGCAGGTTGTTCCAACCTATGCAACTGCAAATTGGGAGCAAACCCAATTAAGAAACAGAGGTGCAACATCTCCATCTTCACCCAGCTATCTCCCAGGAACCCAGAGCTCTCTGTCACTGCCTTCATATTCACCCTGGCTGCAACAAAATCATGATTTAAGTTTTCCTTCCCAATTCTGGTTTTGGTTTGGTTTGTTTAAAGCAAAATAAACACAACAAAAGAGAGTAGGAAAACTCAGCCACAAAATTTGCATTATATTCTTTGTCTTGTGTTCAATCCTTTTCTCACACCCAGTGCTTCTCGTCCCAGAATCCCAGTGGGATTCCCCGTGCTTTCAGATTTCTGCATTTATCTTCATTGATCACAGCTTCCCCCTGTTTAATTGGTAAGCTTTGCTTTTAGATGTTTTTTTAGACAGGAGAACACATATCACATACAAAAACAAACAAAAAAAAAGTCCTAGCAAAGTTGAAGGAAACTATTTCCAATGCCCTTTGCAAACAGGACAAGATACAGAAATTTAGGATGGGAACAAGCAAAACTTTTCCAGCATGGGCAGCTCTGCTCTAGAGTCACTTGCCTACGGAAGGTGTGGAATTTTTATCTTCTACTAGTAACTCTTCAGAAAACGTTCGTGTTGGTGTAGGAGGACAGTTTAGGCAGGATTCTGCAGTGTTCCATTGTTTTACCTCACTACTTTTACTGAACAGCGCCTGAACTTGTTCAAAATATTTCTGCTGAAATTGCAGAGTCCTCCTACTCACTTTCTGTCATCATGAAGTCATTATTAAAATAATACCTGAAGCACTGGTCAATCCAAAACCATCAAATTATATTAAAAAAAAAAATCAGAAAAATGTGTAATTAACCTTTTGAAACCAGTTACTATCTTCCTTTTTTCCTTAAACTATGTTTTCAGTGCCTAAAAAGTAGAATTTAAAAAGGACACATCCTTCACCAAAACCAATGCATTCACTATAGGGATTTATTTTGTTGCTCTGTTTGCATCTTTCTTACACTTTGTCGACATAATAACCAAGACTTAAATCACTGAAAATGAGTAAATTTCATTTTTGTTTATCATCAGTCATTGCTAAAAATCAATTTCAATGCTCATTTTATGGCATTATCACCCTCCACTGAAAGCTGGAGTCCTTCAGCTGAAACACAGACGTGGGTTGTGTGCACGCTCCTGGTCCACATAGAAACAAACCGATCTAAATAACCCGGGGCACTTAATTTGCAGCCTTGGCTGCAAAAATTCATTCGTATTGACACAAGATAGGAATAAACACACAGCTGGCTATGATGCTTCAGCTGTAAGTAACTTCTTAAAGCACAGTAAATGACACGGCCTGCAAACACACAAACATCTGATAGTTGTTAACTTCCCTTTATACATGTATGCTTTCCTTTCTAGTTCTAAATGCTAAATGGTTGTCCAAAAGGTTACAGTACAGCTCATAAACGTCTTTATTGCTATTACGTTCATTATGTCTTTTAGAGCCTTTTGGGAAGAAAAAAAGAAAAAAGAAAAACAAGAAGAAAAAAAAAGAACAAACCCTATCATCTTGTTTTGCATTTGTCAGGGTTTGTGTAAACACCATGAATCATTTCATGATTTCATATTTCATCTTACTTTGTCATCATCACTGGGAATAGCGATACTATTTTAGACTTCAGCAAAAGGAAATTGAAGCTTCTTGCTAAACAATGAAAACATGCCCTTACTAGATGCAAAAGGCTGTATTTGATAATGACTGTATTCATAAAAGGAACTGCTTAAATCAATCTTTACACCTTGGCCTGAGTGAAGGAGTGCATTTAGGCAGGCCTAAAAAACACATACAGCTGGATTTCTAGATAAGCGTTTTAAAAAGAAGATGCCAAAGCATACCCAACAAAACCAGAAGAGTAACTTCTCCATGTTTTACACAAAACCGGTGTCTGTTGTGGTTTTGATCAAATCTTTGTCCATGAAGACAAAGACAATGGATCAGAGAGGATGACATGATGATCCTGGTCATGAGTTGAGAGAAGATGCTGAAACCTGTTGACATTCTCCATTCACTGTTGGACAAAGTCCACTGGAAATTTCAGCTGGGACTTGAACAAGAATATTTTAATGGAGAAAAAAATGTGCAAAGTTCATTGTAGGTTTAAGAGGAAGAGCACAAAAAAAAGTAGCAGAGGAAGACTGAAAAATAGAGAACTGGAAATAAAGACTCCAGAATCCAAGCATCATTGCTTCTCCTAAAGTCAGCATGGGGCACTACTGGCAAAGTTTAGTGGTCTGTATCACTGATTTTTCTCTTTCCTGCAGTTAACATGCAACATTTTACACACAGGCTGCATGTAGATAGCCATATCAGTTGTGGTTCTAATCTGTTATATTTTGATGCACATTTTCATAGACATACTCACATTTTAAGACTACCATTTTGAAATCCAAACACTCAATTTAAGCTCAGTTAAAGTATTGTGTTTTTATATGCACATACTAAACAACCTAAAACAGACAGATTCTGTATTTCTGAGGTGTGATTAACATAACTGACACAAGTCTATCAAACACTGAATGTAAAAAAGTACCTAATTGTAATTAAAGTTCTGGAGCCTCTACAATTCCATAAAATCATCATAAGTTAAACCAAGGACAATTATAATTTTTCTTTTGCAAAACAGTGACTCAGAGTGAAAGAAATTTTCACATTGTCTGTCCAATTGATTACTGATCATTGAGATCATACTGGTCATGAAATCTTAAACCTGGCACGAAGGATTTTATTTTATTTTATTTTATTTTATTTTATTTTATTTTATTTTATTTTATTTTATTTTATTTTATTACTTTACTTTACTTTACTTTACTTTACTTTACTTTACTTTTTCTGGATTAGTTAACAAGTCAAATGAGCCTCTTAGAAGACCTTAAAGCAACCAAGCACATGAAGAGCAGGGAGGTAACCTTAATCTTGCAGAGGGATCACCCTTGTAATGTCAGAGTGGAAGGCTTGGAGATAGAATGGAAAACAGCAAGAGATGTCTAGAGGACCATGGCTGGCAAATGACAGACAGCAATATTATCATAGATAACATATGCAAAGAGGATGTTTATTAAAATTCATTAAGAATAATTAGATGAAGACAGATTCCCTGCTGGAGTGCTGGAAGCAGTGATGACATGGAAGAGTGGGAGAAGGAATACAGGCACCACAGCAGCTTATCCAGCACATAATTCAGCTGTTACAAGAAGAACAATACAAATCTTTGGCTTATTTGCCTCTATACTTTCCTCCTGCCCTCCCCTGAAGAAGCTGCACCCATCTTCTCTTTAAATCTAGTCACAAATAAAAAGGAAACAAACTTTCCTCGATTCCTAGCAAAGGAGAAGATTCTATTGTGCTTTAAAGACCTACTGCCATCTGCTTATCTGAATGTGCAAAGCTTGTCTTCCATAAGAAGCCAGCACTGTAAACATTTTTCAGATAACAGTTATAGAGGAAGAAGATGAACTTCACCAGAATAAAGCCAGAGGGAGACCAGATGAGACTGACCAGTTCCTGAGTCAGCAGGATGCTCCTGAAAAGCCCATAACCCATAAGACTGACAAATGGTGCTTTGGGCTAAAAGGACATGATATACAGTTTGCTATGGCAAAAAGGCTTTAATAAACAGAAATACAAAGGTTTCTCTGGAAAAGAACTTGCACACTGGCTCCTTTCAACAGTTAAAACTTCTTCAGCTAGTTGACCCCATCTGGACAGCTTGCTCTGAGGTAACTACCATGGTCTTATCTGCCTCCTCCTCTCCTTGCAGCTGAAGAGATTTGAAGAGAGGCAGGGAAACTTGCTGTGTTATTTTCCAAGAGGCACAAAAAACTGTCATTTCATTTGTTTGGCTGAAAACACTAGAAGTCAAGTATTTCTGCAAAAGACTGAGGCCACTGGCACTGCACGAATCAACCCCACCAACAGAGATTCCTCTAACTGGAAGCCTCGTGCTTCCTGCCATGTGAGTTAAGACCATACAGAAACAGCTACCAGGCAGAGCTGGACCAATAAATAAATAAATAAATAAAGCATTTTCAGTTGGAAAATAAAGCTGGTCTAAACATTTCACAAGATGATGTTGGATGAGAAAACTCAAAAATAAGTTTCTTTAAGCAAATAATTAGAGAACCTTTATTGGCCCATCTCATAGACAAAAGCTGCAGTGTAAGCTCAAGCCTTCTTGAATAGCAAACCACAGAGAAAACCAAAGGAAAACAAGCTTGCATGGTCTATTTGCTTATTTTTCAGTTAACTAACAAATTATATTATTAAAAAAAAAAAAAAAAACAACGTATGTGGCCTTCAGTTATAGTCTTTTATATAATATGTGAACTTTCTCCCTTTTTTGCCATTAGCTGGTTTGTGAGTGGTATTCCTGGAAAAGGATGAAAAAAGGGCTGAAGAAGAAGAATCAAACAAAGCATTCCTCTGGCATTTGCTGTAATAGAAACCATTGGTGCTGTTCGGTACTTTAGACCTAGTTTAAATGACATGCTTTTTTACCTTAACAATTCAGATACCTTAACCTTGTTGTATCTTCCCAGTAAAGCTAGAATTTCAGGTGTGCATACAGATGACTGTGATTGGGGTAGGTCTTCAGATAGTTTAGCTTTTTATAGAAGCACACAAAAGTGTATCAGAATTGTAATAAACCCTTTGCATGCCCAGACATTTCCTTTTGTGACATTTACGGTAGACTTAATATTGTCTGACATCAGCCACCTAAAATATGGGCACAATCTTAGCCTGACATGCAAAGATGAAGGATAAAAATGAGCACTTCCAGGTAGCAGCTCAACTTCTCCCTCCTAAAAGAGGCACCCTAGAGATGATGCTCTTTCCATCAACTAGAGGGGGAGTCCAGGCAACAGAATAAATACTTACATTGGAGGGAATGGACACCACCCTTAGTGCTCCCAAGCTCAAAAGGTCTGATCTGCTGAGCTTGACCAGGAGCTGAGCTCCTCCAGAAGTTGTGACCTGGGTGCAGTGACAGCCACCATAAACGCATGGTCACTGATTGCTGGTACACATTCTTCTTTTACACAGCCTCTCACAAATTTTGTGCCAGTCTTTATGATCTTTACTTGCATTAATGACAGACAACACAAATTATTTAGCTAAGCAGGATTTGTTACTTGCTGTGTCCACCATACTTACTGTTATGACATGGTTTACTGTCTGGAAGGGGCTGCCTTTAGATGAAGCTTCAGCAGGACCAGCATCATGGGCATTGGGTTCTGAAATGAGGGATCCCTTTAAAAAACAATGCAGAAGAAAGACATTTTTATATTCTGTTCAAGAGGAGCAACTCCCTCCTTTTCAGGTGACTGTATGAACACCTAGCCCTTTTGTTATACACGGTTGCACAATGAAAGCAAATAAAATTACAATTCTTGCTGTTCCCTATCTACTGAACATACTGTACATTTGCATCATTGAAATGGTCTGTTCAAGAACAAAAATTTCTAACATAAAATATCAAGAGGAAATGCTGGTTATTTGCCCACAGATTAGGCCTGTGGTCAAAACATCAGGACTCCTACAGCACACCTAAATGCATTAATTCCTTCTCATCTCCCACACATACAACAAGCAGTTTTATTTTTACATTCTTTAAACAGATGAATGATTCTGCCATCTTGTGGGAGACAGGGAAAACATCCATTTGTAGGATAACAATAGCGTGACTGAGCAGTATGGTACAGATATACAAACTAACTATTTATCAAAATAACAGATAGTTATAAATAGCAGCTAGTATATTTCAAATAGCCCCCAAACTAAGAATGAATTGCAGCCTTACAGAGGAACCCGAGAAAGTTAGTATCATAAAAATCAACTGATTTGATCAGAACCTCTTCTTAGAAGTTACAAGTGCAACAACCAAAAATCTTGACTTTTTTCCTGATTATCTGGTGATGTGAAATATGTAAAGACTTATTTTATTTGCTATTTCTCACATATGTTACAATAAAAAAATAGGTATTTACTTTTTTTTAGAAGGAAAATGTTAAACAATCCTGAGAATATCCTCAAAAAATATATAAGGATATACGAATATAAGTCTATAGCATAGTTGTAAAAATTGAGAGATCAATCTGTGATGCATTTGGCTTTGTCTGATATAGATTGTATCCTTATTATGGGCAGCTAAATTGACATAAAAGAATCCTTGTTTTACCCTACCTTAATTTAACAAGATGTATGCTGGAGTAAAAGCTATTTATTTAAGCAAGTGCAACAAAAGCTTAAGAGCACAGGAGCTGAAAAAATAAGTAAATCATAGACTAGTTTAATTTCAAAATAATTTTGCAGGGGTTCCCCTCCTACTCTACCTTTCACAGCTGGTAGAAAACAAAGAATAGGCCATAGTGCCAGGAAAACATGCATGATCACCACAGCTGTGGTGGTCCTCTTGAGTACTTCTGAGGCTTCACAGAAAGGCTACTGCTAGAAAAGATGAGACTTGAAGTAGAGCAGCCAGGGATACACATTTATTCCTTGGCACTTGGCACTATAAGGCTCCACCAATGTAGTTACTCTGGGTTGTTCGCTCTCATCCAAAAATTACCTTGGAGAAACAAGCTGATGTAGTTTCTATTTCTTTGTATCAAATAAACTCATGTAATACATGACCAAGGCAATGCCATAAGAAACTTTCTTGGACCAAGTACAACTGCACTTGTGCTAACAAATGCCATTATTCTCCTTTACAACTCAGCCATCAAAGTTAATAATATTTTGTTAAGCACTTTGAACACAGAGATCAGAAAAACAGAACATAATAAAAAGGAATACAAAGACTTAATGTCATTATAACTTCTTTATAAAGTACTTTGGGAGGAATCCAAAAAGCTAGGCCTAAATCAAGATCTCCAGCTCCCATACCTAATTGAATTGAATTAAAGCTTACAAGAAGAAAATGTGATCCACATTAGCAAACAAAGCATCTACCTCTGCTGCTCTGTCTCCTGCTTGCACCCCCACCAAGTCCGCCGGACCATCTTTTGGTAGCCGAGCAATCAAAATTCCCTGGTAACACAAAATACACATTTCAGACATAACACAGTTTCTTCTACTGTACTCAGTTGTTAAAAGCAAATAAAAAGTAATTAATTTTCAAGAGATATTGTTCCGCTCCCTCCATTAAAAGAGAAACTAAAGCATCTCAGCATATTAGCAAGGGAAAAAAAAAACAAAGAAACAAAAAACAACCTTCCATGGCTGACTATACAACAATGAACAGAAGTCATTAATTGTTTACAATATGCCATGGGGGACAGCCGGGAAACTAGGATTTATTTAAACGATAATTAATTGAGAAGATGCAAGAAATACTTCTCTCAAATCAAGTTAGCTCCTGGGAATGAGCAAATAGGATGGGAGAGACACATGGATTGCAAATGGAGTGACTTCAAATAGAGCTTCCTTCAGGAGCTTTCCCATCAAAATCTACTGACGGCTTCTACTTTGGAAATAAGTTACCCATTTTCCCCTCATCAACTGTATTACTAAGATAGCGATGTTACATTGAGAACAGCCTCAGAAAGCAAACAACAAAAGACAATAGCTGCAAAGAACTGCTCATCAGTCTCCTTCTAATGAGTACTAGATAAATTTTGAGTAATGAAATGCACCTCATCATTGTCTTTATATGGAGATGAGCCCTTTCCACCAGCAATGCTAATACCAAGACTCCCCATTTGACTGCACACAGTAATGGTTATCTGGAAAAGAATTATAATTGATAAGAGGCCTGATTAATCAAAAGCATTGCCTATTAATTACACAAGCAATGAAAATCTAGCTCCCATTCTGAACACCACCAGACTTCCCCCTACACAGCTCAGCCCAGAGAGAAATTGTGCAATTCTTCAACATCAGCACATGCAAGCCTAATCTATAATTTTCAATAACATCAAGAATGCAATATTTCTAAAAAACAGATTTCACAGTCATGCCAAAGCTTTATAAGGCTCTTTATTAAGAGTATTTTATTTCGCCCATAGCTTCTTCATCCTGAGAATTCTTTGCCCTCTGGAGAACTGCTGACCAACCCAGTTATTTCATAAAACCCACCAATTTATTGAGCATTCGTGACGGCAACAAAGCTAATACACACGAGGTGTGACGAGTAAATATTTTGGGGTAAATTTCTGAAAAACCTTTGCTTCGGATCCTCATCTACAACCTGATTACTTACTCCACTCGAGAGAGAAAAGGTAATTGTGTTTGAGCACCACTACAATAGCTTCTTTAAACAGGTTTTCTGTGTGTATGTGTTGTTCTGTCAAAAGATTCAACAGTAACTATTGACTTTAAAATAAAAATCAGTACTTAAATATTTTTTAAAGCAGAATAAATTGTAATCCCTTTCTTCTACTCTTAGCCTGCAAGTATTGGCAAAAAATCAGAACAACTGCTCAGTATCTAAGATGATTTTTTGAATGTGCATAATTTACAATAAAGTCCAAATAAAATCATTTTCATGTTCCAAAGACAACTTTGTTTAAGAATTATTCCCAGAAATGATTTATTTTTCTTTAATTTATCATATTCTTTTTTTTAAATACTATGAAAATTACTAAGACAACAATCAGATTAGATTTAAGGAACACCTTGCTGTACTGTAGTTGAACCTGAATGCAAATCACATTGCACTTCTTCACATAAGCAAAATGCTTGTAACTGTCATTGATTTGGTTCATCTCTCTAAGACAATTCAGGCTTGAACAACTTTGTATATTTTATAATTAAGTCTATTTCAACACAGCTGTGTTTTGGAAATTGACAAACGTGCAGTTACTCTTGCACAGATAACATACTCATCTGAAATTCCTGATTTAAAAAGGCATGAAAATACCCTGTCAGTCAAATGAAAACCACCCTGCCAAGTTTAGCTTAGATTTAGCATTACCCACATGCCCAAGAATTCATGAGTAATTGTCAAAAATGCTTTAGTGATAATACACCACCATGGCTGTCCCACCAGGCGAACTGTTTTTTCTGGAGCTGTATCCACAGGGTGTTGGGCTGCAGAAAACTTTGCATTTCTGTTATTACGTCTCTCTAAATCCCATAAGGCATGTTTCCTCCTCATGTCCTCTAACGCATGTTGAGATGTGATGTACCCACTGAATTCAGTGTGTAGCTTTCTCTATAAATCTCAGCCCAAATCTTGCAGCTCCCAATGATGAATGAATCTCCACCTGAACACCTCTAACCATTCTCATGGGACGGAGGCTTTCTCATGCTGCGAGGGTAAGGCCATGTCACTGCTCCTAAACCAAGGACTAAGCATTCACAGGTGAAGATGTGGCTGCACACACCTTTGGCTTGACTTTACAATGGTCCAAAGCTGGCTATACAAAATAAGACCGTGCTGAATGGCTACAGAGGGTGGTTTATCAGGATAACCCACTGCAAGCAAGGGCGAACCTCAACTTATACTCTGAGAATGGCTGTCTCACAACAACCAGGCAAAATCCCCCTTCTTTGCATCCTGTGTGAAGATGCAAAGGTGTCTCACATAGCGCACAGACCCAGACATGAGGCAGTTCATTACCTTCAGCGGGGGCTGTGTCCCATCTGCAGCTCTTGAGTCCTCCAGAAACCTGCTGCTCTCTCCGGACAAGCTGCCCACTGCTGGGACAGGCGCCTGTGCCTTGCTGTTAGTCCCTGGGAGAGTTTTCCCCTTCGCTGCTGACTTGTGCTTCTCCTGTAGAGTTGTTCTGGTATTTCTCTGATCTCTTACGCTACTGTCAGTATCAAAAAGGCTGCCAGAAAACTTGGAAATAGGTTCCTAGGGGTTAAAGATCAAACAGGTAAACAAAGCAACAGCAAAGAGAAGAGCTGTCTGACACCTGTGTGCTACATGCTGTAAACTGGATTTGTTCCTCTTTACCACACTAGCGTTTGCATCAGAGAAGCCAAAAATGTAACCTTAAAGCAAATGCACACAACTATCTTTTTGTATAATTATTTCTCTTGGCACGGTTTTCCCTCAATATGAGGGCAGAGGTTATAGGGCCAGGATTCCTACAGCGTTCCTCTAGGTCCCCAGACACTCACAAGCACGTGCACCCTCACCATTCCTCAGACACTTCCAGTGATGCCCTGTGAAAAGGAGGGAGTGTGGAAATGAGACCACTTTGGGCAGTCTCCAGCAGCTCAGCAGCACCAAATCCACTTTTCGGGGCATGGAGCCACACATACAGCAAAGGAAACGGCTTCCCATGAAGAAAATAAAACATTTCTCACAGCTCCTCAAGGCTTATCTTTTATATTTGGGAGTATAGGTGTGAGAGGGAAGCTGAGCCTGAGCTTTGAAACTGTATCTCTGAGATTTTGTTCAAATGCTTTAGTGAAAAAGAAGAACCTGGGTTGACTTTATTGAGCTTTAAACAGCAGTGGGAGAGGACCTGCAAACTTGGTAACTATCTGGTGGTTTTGGGATCCAGTGGAAGTGAAGCCTTGGAGGTGAGGCACTCCAAAGACAGCCTTGAAGCCTGGCTGTAGGATGTGGCTGTTCTGAGATGCAGAGAGGGACAGACAACATCACCCCATGCCTAGCGAAACCACCGGGGCTTGAGATTAGAAATACACAAACCAGTCTTACTGCAAAATATAGTGAAGTTTCCCAGTTATCAGTTTTGTTTGGCAAGGCGTTTAAACGAAATCCAGCCATGATCTCCAAACTCTGTTCACATTTTATGGGTGCTTTATTTATATTTAGGTGATTTTTTTTTCCTTCTTAATTTTGATGGGTAAGGTTGAACCAGACCTTCATATTACCATAATCCTTACATCTTCTGCTGGCAGTAAAATGATGCAGCAAACAAAGGTCAACGCCTTTGAAAATAAACCCCATAAATGCCTTTCTAAGCCTGGTGGTTTAAAACAGAATTACAAAAGCAGTGGCATTACCACGAGCAGCTGTGCAGAAAGCCCAGAGGACAGTCTTTGAATCTGCATCCGAGGTTTCCCACATTGCCTTTTTGGTTGGGATGAAACGAAGCACCACCAACCCTCAGGACAGCAAGCATGGAGTGATTGTTTCCTATTTCTACTTAAAATTATAAAGGAATTTGTTTAGCTTTAAGTCATGTAAGTGAAAAAAAATAAAAAATAGAGAGAGCCCAGGGCTGAGAAGCCCAGGTAGATCCACCCGATCAGACTCAGTGGTGGCCACCAGGAGCTCGGAAGGGAGGTGTGGTTGTGGCAGAGGAGCAAAGGAGCAAGAAACCCATTTCCCCCTTCATTCCCAGCAGATGTCTGGAGGAAAGCCTTGTGAGCAACACCCTGCAAGGCTGAGAAAGTGCAGTCACCTCCCCAACAACCTCCTCCTCCAGGGCATGACTGAGCGTTGAGTGCTGTGAACAACCTGCTCACCCGAGAGAGACGGAGGGATGCTGATAACCAGAGACATAAGTAGGGGTAACATCTTTTTTTAAATGTACCCATCTCATCATTGCACTTGTTACTTGTCTTGCACTGTCCTCGTGGGGGTTGGGATCTTTTAGTTGCAAGCAAAGGAATAAGACATTGAACACGATTCTGTCCTTGCTGCCACATAGCATAAGCAAGATGTGAAGGTACACAACAGAGCTTCAGGGAGGCGGCAGATGCAGCCTCCCACTGGCCTAAAAGCACCCAGCCTTCCTGTCAGAGGCACAGAGCATTGAATTGTTGGTAGTTTCTCAATGGACACACAACATTGTCTCTCCTGACTTTAAGAAAACCACCTACATCCTCATCAGGATCCTCCAGTTCCTCCGCCTCTTGCTCAGGGCTGATCCTTCCTTCCCTCCACTTTCCATTGGCAGAGCTGAGTTTGTACAGGTTGCCACCATGAAAACCTTCCTTCCCTTTCAACGAGGCCCAGCGAGAGCCCTGGGAGCTCCAGTTATGGCCACTGTACAGTTTGGGAGACTTGGGAAGCCACTTAACAGAGTCCTGAGAGGAAGAGGACAAAAGGAAAAAAAAAAAAAAGGCAATTAATAGATTTTAAGAAAGTGACTGAGGTATGTGCACGCAGAAATTGTCCGGTAAGATCTCCAAGGTATTTAAGCATTTATTTATTTAAGACTGGGTTTCCCCTTTTTACCTTGGGATGTACCTTTAGTCCCAGGAGGACAATTAATGGTGCTATTGGCAATACAAAGAGCAAAGGCTGCTAACGTTAGTGGAAGCCTCCAGTGACTTACATGAGCGTGGAGCCAAGCCCACCTTCAGCCTCATAAAGAAGAATTACATGATCAACAACAGTCTCCGATAATGTAATACCCTGCACTATTAAGAAAACAAACACGAATTCTTAGACCTTTAGTGACTTTCATCTCACGTCCTGATTTAAAAAAATAAAATTGTCACCCTCCTCCTTCTACAGTATTCATTGAATAAAACACTCTGTTTGCTGAACAGTCCCAATCAAAACTACAATCCTAAAATAATGCTTTAGGGTTTGTTTATTTTCAAATTACAGTCCAGTTTTCCTCAAAATGTCAGTTACTTATTTACATCCAAAAAACCCTCCTCTCTGCTTCATACACATCAAGTCGTGTCAAGATTGTTAATTTCACTGAACTTCAGAAATCATTTTTCACAATAACCTCTGGCTTTCTCTGAAGCTTTATTTAATTTTTGCATTTCCTTAAGGTGACATAAATCCATCAGCAGAAAGCAGCCCGATGCCTTATCAACAGGTACAGTAACACACATGCTCCACTAGGGCAAAGAGATGGAGAACACAAAGTAATGAAAAAAGTTACCAACAAGCCTGTGGTATGGAAATCAGCAGCATATAGTGACTTTGATATTGTTCAAACAGATATTTGATTCAGATCTAACACTTCTTTAAGCCTCTGCTTTTTCCCTTTTTAATGCAAAATGGTTACGTTCACACAAACACAGACTTCTTGCTGTGACCAGCACCCCAGAAGTCACCACCTCTGTTAGATCTAAGGATGTGAAAGGAAGATAGGACAAGGCTGTCCATGCTGGATGTGTTGATCGATCTTCAGCTGCTGAAGGAGCTCCCCTTGGGATTCTTCATTCACTTTGGGGTTTAGTATGACTATAAAAGACTAGGAAATGGACATGCACAATATCCCAGCGAGTCTTTGGAAACAATTATAGAATTTTCTGTGTATTTTTAAAAGAGCATAGCCCAACCAGAGGATTATTCACATTGTACATCGAATGAGTGATCAGCCTCTGTAAGAAATTTGCTGTTAGATCACATTTTGAACTGCAGAGATACTCAACAATACCGCTGTTCACTGATAAATAGGCAGGATTTGTGGTTATTATAAACCACACGGCTCGGGACACTCAAGCTGACATCAGATTTAGTTCATCAGTGAACTGAATGCATGAGCAGCACAAATGATCACGACATGTTAGTAGCTCCCATTCCTGACAATGCCAAACGCAAGGCCTGCTATTTCTTCACATTTGCCACGAATAAGGAAACACGGGGTACTCTTAAATAGAAACTCTGTTTCCTATGAATATTAATTAGGGCAGAAATTCTAATCAGATAGTGAAAAATATGCTAGCTAAAATTATTTGCTGTTGTTTGGGTTTGCTTTATTTCAGGAGAGCTAATTTATTAATTCACTCTTTATTAGATTCAATACTATAGGATCATGCTTTGAGGCTGAAGAGGCTACTGACAAATATCTTAAGAAAGAAAACATTATCCCTCCTTACAGAATTTTATAGATATTAACTGGTATTCTTACTATTCAGGTAAAAGCTGAAAGTTTCTTTATGTATTTTATACCCAGGGAAGCTGAGAACCAAAAGGATTTAGACAGTAAACATTTTAAGTTATAAGCAACAAATACAGAGCGAGGCATGTAATTTTACATTCTCTTTAAAATATTTGCAATAAAACAAGTGGAGAAGAGGGATTCAGCACTTAAGACTTTAAGCTTCTTGGATATTTGGACTGCGTTACACTGCTGTTTTGTAAATGCAGAAGAAATGTTTGGGGAAAAAAATATTCATCAGCCTCAGCACTTGTTACATTCCATGGAAATACATTTTTAATCTCCCTTCATTAATAACGATCTTATCTTATTGGTAAACAGATCATTTTCCTGTGATATTTCACCAGCACGTCAGGTGGGCTCCCTTTTTACCTCCTTCCAATCTATTTTTCACGTTTTCAAAGGCAGTCTCTTCAAAACATAAATATTCCTCTGTATCATACCCCTGTATATCAAGAGGACAAATTGTTCTCATAAAGTACAAGGTGTCTATTCTGATAAGATCTTGCTAATAAATCCTCTAGAGAATGAATTTGCTCCAGGCAACAAAGGTTTGCAAATGCTATATATCACCTTAAATCATTCTGGCAAACGAAAAAGAATCCCAAACACTCTAATATTAAAAGAGAAGAAATGAAAACCACCCACATTTCTTAAAAACCATACTGAAACCCTAGAGTGACAAGGCAACACCATGCTTACAGCAGTAACCTGGTAACCACCTGCAAGTACAACCCAAGGTAAAACTGTCAGAGCTTTCCATCACCCAGAATATATGGATGGCAATACACCTGCCACTGCATTGCAACTTGAAACCCCAAACACACATCCTTGTCTATAAACACCTTAAGTAATTAGTAAAAATGGGAAAGAAAACGTCTTTAAAGATGTATTTCCCACAATATAAACACTCTTTTCAAGTACAGCTACACATAACATTCAGTATTCCAACTGGAAACTATTTCAGATTCTTTCCCTTTGCAAAGTACAAAGAGCTAAAAGAGCTTTGTGTGATTCGGATGAAACAAGAATGAAGGCGAACCAAATTGCTGCAGAAACAAAGGCATACTTGAATACGCTTTCACTGGAGAAGAGGCAGCAAAACAGCTGCCTGGACAGATTATTGAAGCAAGACTTGTACAGGGAAACTTTGCTAGCAGTAAATAGATAACTTTAAACTTAGATGTTCAAGCATTAACTAGCCAGAATCCATTTTTCAATTTTCTAAACATACCATTCTAAAAATAAAAACATGCTGTAGGTTGTTCTGAAAGCATCCACTATGCAAACGCCCTTAATATTCCAGAAATTCAGGACAATCGTATCTGCTAGAAGCAATTTCAAATTAGTTTAATGTAGCTCATTCATTCTGGGTTTGGGTAAAAATGGCAAGTTATTGGGAAAGATCAGAGAGAATCAAACTGTTTGCATCACTAGTACAGTCCCATAGTTTGCTTGAGTGACAAAAGAAGGTGGTTTTAGTCTAACACGAAACTAACTTCAAAGCATTCAGTCCTACCTCTGCATTATTCAGGGGATGCTCATAAATTGAAATTGAAGCTGCTGATGACTTGCTGGTATTTACAAGCTGCACATGCATCCATGGATTTTGAAGAAAGTTACCACAGTCAGCACTCATCTGCTACAGAGAGTTGGTTTTGGTTGATCGTTATCACGCCTTCAGCTCCAAATCCAGAGGTGTCAGTTAAAGACAACAACAGATCAGCACTAAGAGAGCACATGTCAAAGGTTACTGAACATCAGTTCTCAACTTCCTGGTATTTACTGAAAAGGAAGTTTCCTATATCCCTTCCCTGAACATCACCAAGGAGCTACAGTCCTTCCCACAGACAGTGCTGATGACATCCTTACCAGCCAAGGACCTTTCCTGTATAAAGGTAAGTGGCCTCTTAGGATCTGTGTTAATACTGATGCTGGTACACTCTCACCAGGCACGCCCTGAACAAGTCACAAATTTGAAACCAGACTGCTACAAATCCTTCCTCCTCGTTTACACAATCATGCAGGTTGGAAAAGACCTCCAAGATTGCACCTTTAACCTAGTGCTAAAGTCCACCACTAAACCATGCTACTAGGTCCTACATCTACATGTTTCTTGAAGGCCTCCAGGGATGGTGATTCAGTCGGGCACAGCGCAGCCCAGCCACGCATGCTGAGCTCCTCAGAGCCCTCTGCCCTTGCTGAATCCAGCACTGGCCATCCTGTTAGCACAAGATCTGAATAAAAAGGGATAAAATGCATAGCGTCTCCAACACCTACCAGAAGAGCAGATAAGATGGCTCCTGTAAAGCAGCTCACAAAGCTGCCCTCAAACCAGGTGTGTGCTTTTCCGCTCCAAAAATCTCACATTTTTCATCACGCTGTTTCAAAGCGGAATATGTTCCTGAACTCAGATTGAAAGAGGAAGGCGACATCCCGCTGAAAACGTCACAAACAGCTCAGGAGGAAGGGAACACCCAAAACATGTACTGATAGCCAACACCAGTCCCCTTTACTCATCTTCTCTGACCTCAGCCTAAGCATGGGAACCGACTCCTGTGTTTGACAGAAACTGAAGGTGGGAAACATTCTCATCAAGACAACTGAAAAATTGAAGTAATTTTATTTTCCATATGCAAGGCGAAGAAAGGCAGTGAGTTCTCCATTAACACAAGGTCTAGAGATTTATGATAAAGAGCACACGCCAGTCTCAGAGGGAGGTACGTCTTCACAGATAACCGTGTATTCAATTTTCAGGCTATATCAACTGACCATTAAAGTATATTAAAATAATTTACTTTACAAAAATTAAATTCCCAGTGTCATTACTCTCCTTCCAATGGCAGAATCTGTGAACACCAAGTAGTGAAATGTGTTAAGTAGCTGATCAGCTACAAATGGCTCGCCCAGCAGTGGTAAAGTACTGTTCCCATTAGACAAAAAACAGTCTGATCAGCTCGTCCTGGACACAGGCAAGTCATTTCCTGGAAAAAAACATCGGTATGCAAGTTTCCAGCACTCGCTTTACAACAATACACCAATTATCAAAAATATGGAATGCGAGCCAGAAAAATAATCGTGACATATAAATTATATGGAAACTGTGGAAAATGCCTGGGGCAAGAAAAAGGGGATGGAAAAATCTGTTGCTACACCAACTACTGCTTCTGCTTTCCTAAGCCCATGCAATTGTGCCTTTCAATAAAGTCAACTCGCGTGTAATAACTGACAGGTTAATATTAAACCCACTCCACCACTATGGTCAATTGGTTTTCCCTCATTAACTGTTTGGCTAATAAAGCAGCATGCAAGTACTGCAGGATTCCTTCCCTTGCATAAACCACCTCCCAAAAGAGTTGCAAAGCAATTTTAAAAAGCAGAAAAAGTTTAAGGGGAAAAAAAAAAAAAAAGTTATGCTTACAAAATTGTGTTCATTACTCAGGCTCCTCAAAGCATCAGAAAGATAAAGCCACAGACTGGGAAGGGAGAGCTCATGCTCTCAAGGACAGACAATTTCAGCATAATAAACAGCGCCAGCTTTTTCTGCCTATAAAACGCAGTTAAAATTGCCAGGACAAGTCTTATCAACACTGTGTAGAGTACAAAATGCTTTATAAAATGGCATGCATACAGGCCATTCGAGAGATCAGAGGGACCACCACTGGTCTAGGCTACTGGTGTTTTGATCAGGTGGAGTGACAGGGAAGTCCCCCTTTTATGATAAAGCTGCTGTCACTCAAACGTTTAGGTTTTGGGGGAGAGAGAAGGTAGGGGACAGTTAGAGGATGGTGCCTCAGTGGACATCAACTCCTTTAACCTCTAGCCAAACAACTGTTGAATTATATTCGGAGCTCATTTTACTCTTTCTTACAAATCAGTGGAGGCAAACACCTTCAACAAGAAGTTCACATCACCTGTCTTAGGCTTGGATGACCACAGGGACACTAGACTAGCCAGCCAGCTTCTGGCAACAGGTTTGGATTTCCCATTCGCTGCTGTCCTTTCACATGTAGCTTACACGCCAGAGAAACCAAAACTAATATTCCTCCCACTACTCAAAAAGATTCCAGAGCAATTACTTATGTCAAAGCTGACGCAGCAAGTGCTGCCTGCCTTCTGGCTAGCTTTTGGATTGCAGCACAGTCTCCACAAGCCTGCCAGGGTGTACAGAAAGAAACTGCCTACTAGAAGAGTTCAGCTGGAAGGAGCCTTCAGAGATCAGCTAATCCAACTGCCTCATTTCTACACTCTAAGGTCTCCTCAGAGGGACCAAAAAGCTCATTTTTAGAATAGAATAATGATAAGGTGCTTTGTCATTAAGCTATTGCAAGGTTTACAGATTATTCCGACTTCGGCAGGAGGGAGTAGGTACACACAAGCTGTTAATTATTTTCATCTGACAGTGCATTAGGCAAGGCCCAAATCCAAGCTTTACACATTCATTTCATCTTGCTGATTGAGCTCTCTTGTTTATATCTGGAGCAGACGCTAAAAAACAAAACAAACCACAGCCTCTAAATGAAAAACATTATAGCTGTCACCACAGAGTACGCAGTCTTGTTGCCTTTGTCTCTGGTCTGTCTTTTTTTAGGAACTAATTTCCCTCTCATTTAAATGGATTTGCTGAGGTTTACTTGGACTCTCCTTACAGTTTCCTATCCTTTTTAAGCTTTTGGTTGTGCCAATTCCAGTAACTACTTTAAAAGGAAAGTTCTACTCAAAGTTGGAGTCAACTGTACCAAACCCTCATTTTCTTTCTCATTTTCCTTTAATAGCAGCTTACCAAGAACAAGTGGCAGAACTCTGCCTTGGGAAGAATGAAATTGCACTGTCCCTGCCTGAACTAACCTAACACCTATCAAACCACAGCAGATCCTGCCAAGAGCTCAAGCCTCAAAGTGTAAATGAGGAATGATTGGGGTGAGAAGAAATAATGAAAAATCTAATATATTTTGCCAGTTTAGATTTGAATATTTGGAGATGGCTTGCAATACCTTGATACCCTGCTTGATTTCAAAAAGAAAGGAACGATGTTTGTAAAAGCCTCAACTTAAAAGTTATGAAGTTAAATTACAAAAATTATCAAACACTACAGATTGTTAATTTTAACACAGAGGTTATTGTGACTCCCTTGATTTCCTCCTTTCCCATCTTCTCCCCAAAACTCTATGCAACCAACACTTGCTAGAAGAAATGTCTGGCAGAAGGAGGGATGCGGTTAGCCATACATGCAGAAGTTGTCCATTCTTCCATTTTGTTGAAATTTGGGTTCGTTGCATTAGCTCACACAAAACACGTCAAATCTTTGCTCTGAACTCAGACTGCTCAAGTCCCCATGCTGAACAAGTCAGAGATCTTTGTTAGTTCACGGCACACACAGAACCCCATAGACACCAAAAATCAGTCTTTATCAGCCTTTTGTAAAATTGTTATTTACTGAATCAGCTCAGTTCATACTTACCTTTGTAAACAAACCAGAACCCACAGATATAATAAGACCTTGAAATCAGCATTGGACCACTCTAAGTGCAACACAGTAACAATGATTGTAAATTCCAGTATTAATCCATACATACTTTAATTGCTGTTTTAATGATACAATAAATATACCGAAGCTTTTAAAGATTTTTTTATTATGGTTTTATATAAGTATATAAAACCACCAAAGCACTTTAAAGAATCATGCTTTCTTGCGTAATACATAAAACTAGTTTCATACTGTGCTTCTGAAAGTCTATCGTGCTGTTTTTCAAGTTATTTTACAGATGGCACGTTTAAAAACAACAATGGAAGCATGAATTTCTAGTGACTGCAATGCAACACTGCATCCAAAACAAGATGTTTCCTTACAACTAAGTTAAAGTGTGAGTGCATTATGTAATAAACAATAGCAGTTTGGTCATTTTAATCTTAATTCCGTACACAACAAAACTAACATTTGTGTTTCACGAACTAAAATCCCATGACATAAACGTAAATTCTGTTTTGTAAAAATCTCAACAAATTACTGTCTGAAAAGAAAAACGTATCTAAAACAGAAGACCAAGTTCAGATCTACTCACTTTCTTCAAGGATTTCTATATTTAAGACTAGTATGACATATAAGACACAATAAGGCACAATGGGTGGTACAAACAAATGAGTACAGTTGTCCATGAAACTTGTTCTCTTCCACAAATACTAAAATATGTACCGCTCAAGATAAATTTTCTCTTAAAAATGAAATACATCGTTTTGTTATGAAAGTCCTATACAAAATTTTAAAATTTACACCATCTGAGCTGCCAAAAAAATAAAAAAAATTGTATCTTTTCCACAAAACTAAATTTCTCACCAGCACATCCAGCCACTGGGAAAAAGATATCCCAGCACTCTGGAAATGAAGAGCATTATTTCCCCTGTGTTTAAGACAAAAATATTGTATTCTGCATACAGTAGTGTATTATACTTTAAAAAGCGTAGTACTATTAAAATTACAATATTGATTTGGAAATTATTGGTTCACTGCCTGGATGAAATAAGGCACTTTCTTCCAGTGGGCAGCACTTTTCACATATATGGAGATGATGAATCAGGTTCTGGTTAAAAACAAAAAAGGGGTTCAGTGAGGTCCCAGGAGACGACAGGAACGTTTCAACAGCAGGGGAAGACACAGGAGGTAAAACCTGGAGATGAAATTCTACACAGAAGTGGTCACTCTGTCAATGGCATTATTGACCTCGTTTTTGTTTGAATCCAGTCCTTTAGCAGCATTCATATCATTCCGTAAATTCTCCACTGTCTTTTTCATGTTCTTTAATTCTCCAGGGTGTGGAGTGGCTCGCCTTAGAAGTGTTCTCTAAAAATAAACAGTGCAATAAGTGGTTTTGCCTTTGTCTCTTTGAAAAACAACATACACTTTCAAGGCTTTAGCATTTACATACCAAATATTAGCTATCGATTTAAAAAAAAAAAAATCCCCCCCTTTTCCTTTTCAAACTACTAAGCTTAATTTTTAAAGTTTTTATCATAGCTGCTTGTTTATGAAGACAGCGAAAGAGGTTTTAAGAACTGTCTAGGAGCAAATATTTTCTCCTCTTGACCTACAAATCTGAAAGCCACTCAAATGAAGTACAAGTTCCCGAAATTAAGACTTTCTTTAACATAGTCGGGATTTTTTTTTCTCAAAACCATCCAAGTGATTTAAGATTAAAAAAAAAAAAAAAAAAAAAAAAAAAAGATTTAGCTGGTTTTGAAAGAATCCAAAGAATCCAACAAGATCTCTTTACAGTGTCAATTACACGTTTGCATGGATATCTGTATGCTTTGCAGTCAGTTTGGTTCTCTTATCAATTGAAAACAAGTATCTTGAAAGCAAGAAGAGGGAACATTTTTCTTGCATCTTAGACAGACTATTTAACATCACTGTGCTGACACTTGCAAAGAAAACCAAAGTTACAAAAACTTCAGTTGGAGTCCAGATTAGGGACCCACAGGACACCAGCAATAATTGTACCATATGCATCAGCATAATAGATATATAAATGCAATCACTTTTCTGTGGCATATATGTAAACTATGTACACTGGAACTGGTAAGCCACCTATAAATGGATGGATTGGTCAGGACTTAATTATAAATCCCACCTCCCTCAAAAAGGAACATAACCCTCTTTTTCTCAAAAAAATATTCTTGCCTCAGGTCAGGCTGTAATACCATGACTGAAAGCAGTTATCATTAACACCTGAGCCCTGGCAAGGGCATTCTCAGATTGGCACAGTGGTTAACAAGCACCATTCTGAAATCCTTTATCGGTTGATCTAAAAACCATGCTTGTCAAAGACATTTAGTTTCTGGTACTTTAGACTAAGTATCTTACTTGAAAACTTAAATATTCATTTCCCTGACAAGAAAGAATCTTTATAATAATTTTTTAAAGTAAGACCATGCTTGCAGTGTGCTACAATCCAGAGAGTGCTCTGAACTACCTCAGGCTGAGCTCTAACAAGGACCACCAGCAAGTTTTTAGAGCATTAGAAAAGCATGCTGAAAATTTGATTGAAGCAGTCTTAATCTTTACATAGATATTTAATTGTTAATAGAAGTTAGTAAAGTTAAAGACTGTTGCACTTTGATCTTCAGGACATGCAAAGCCCAACTTAATGGAGAGGTCTGATAAGTACAGTGACAGATGTTCCCACATCCTTTAAGTGGGAAACTAATGAGCAAATCCTTGCTGTTCATGGACATTATGGTTATTTCAATGCAAATGGTGAAAAAAGGAAAAAGGGAGAAACACAAAGAAAGATAAGAAATAGAAACAAGAGAGACAAACAATGTAGCAGGGTAGCAAACTTGGTGGAGACACATGCCAGAGTGCTGGAATCCTAAATTAGGCCCTATATACTTTCAGGCAGTAAAGCTTCACAGATGCAGAGGAAGATCCTATCTTGTTTCTGGAAAGCTGGAAAGAAAACATCCTGAGGAGACACAGGAAAGAAAACAAAACAAAGATCGCCCTGCATCAGAACTTAAATTCAAACAGAAAAAAAAAAAAAAGAAAAAAAAAAACCACAGAAAAAAAACCATACATTTTAAGTTTATATGAAAAGTTTCAGCAGTCAACATGAACAGTTTCCACTGTAAACATGTACAAAATGCATGCAGTCACAGCTGAAATTTAGAGCACGACAGCTCACATACTTTCCACACTTTTGCATTAAAGCCACAGTGCCTGCAGGTAGCCAAAGACTTGGAAAACATACCATTTCATTATCCTCTTCATCTTTTTCATCTTCTAAGAAGCGAATTGCACTGACTCTGTTCACTGCCCGCTCATTCCACGTTTCATCTGACATTTCGTTTACCAAACTCTCCAATGCACCACATCGTGGTAGGTTATCTGTTAAAACAGCAAACATAACTGAAGATTCACAGCAAGTGTAGAATGCCAGCATGTTAGAGAAGTTTCTGTATGAGAAGTTTCTGCACCTGGGCTGTTTCAGGCTTGTGGTGGTTTTACAGTGTTGATTACCTACTTTAAGATACTTGCCCTGATAAGTGTTTCTCTTTCAGATCAGGCCTGCCACTTGATGTTAGCCATTTAGCTAAATGACACTTCATATCACAGTATCATTAGCTTTATCAACCTTGTCCTTTTACTGTTGCTATGCACATGTGTTGAACAATCTTAATTCCAATCTTCTATCCCTGAAGACATAAGATTCATTTGAGAAGGAGGAAATTTGATTTCCACTACTCAAGCCTTTAAAGTCTGTCTCTCCCCACTACTCTTCTTGCTATTTTTCTCTAAACCTAAAGGCATTAACTCATTTACTTCTTTTAATTCTTAATGTAACTTCTATTCTCTTAAAACCCATAAACTGGCACAAAACAGCCATTTCTACACTGCTACTGTTTTAATGGTTTCTATTTGCTCCTGTCCCACAATACTGAAAGACTTGAAAGTATTGAAATTACTCTCACTTAAGTATGGATACCTATAATATAGATATCTACAGCTGAGCTTCTCTCCTCAGGTTCCCTTTGTACTCGGTGGAGTGTTTTGGGATAGGATGAATTACTCTCCAGCGATTACAGTAGGAGTTTAAATATTAGCTCAGATGAACCCCGTTCAATGTTCACACATTGCTATAAAAGCTTCGGAGGACAAATAACATCCAGAACTTAGTGGAACAGCAAACTGTGAAAGAGTTTACAGTTCCACCTGACCAAGAGGCGAGCTTCACCACAAAAGGTAAAAGCAACTTATCATTACAATTCTGTGCTTGTGAAAAAATATAATAAAGTTACTGTAAGGCAGGCCTGCTTGAAAGAAAATTCATTTGCTAAGAAGTACAACATCTCCTGCTTTTTACTAACTATTTAATTATTTTTCTGATAAAAAGACTAGTTGGAAAGCCATCAGTTTTCACCATATATATGTAATTTAAAATGCATAAACAATGTACACAAATATGGACACCACTACTTGACCACTGGCAAACGCTGGAATAATGATATGATTAAGCCATCTTCCTCCAGGTCCGTATTTTTATGTATTGTATGTGGTTGCATTTTATCTTCAGTAACATGTCTGGGAGCATTTTCAAGTTATGATTACAAAAGAAAAAAGTTTAGAAGTGAAAATTCAGCCATAACTGTGTTCAACAGAGCTAATACATAGATATTAAGAAGTCTGTTTTACAAACCTTTCCAGAACAGAAAACACAGTAAACAAAGCAGTAGTATTTCTATACATGACCAAAAACTAACTCTAAGCATTTACCTTGGCAACCAGGCTCAGAAGGCATTTGAGGAAGTAATACACATGTTAAAATCTTTTCTCCCGTTTCAGGGTCTGTGTCGGTCTGAAACGTCAGCAAAGGTTGGGACTGGTTATCAGACAACCACAAAGCCTTCAGCTTTAAGGTAGTCAGCGAGAGGGGAAGATACGTCAGCCTAGTTCAAAAAAAAAAAAGTGAAAAAAGTCAGGGTAATCTCCAGGAGACTTAATCGATGGTCATGAAGTTGACTCATAACTACACAGTCCTGAGTTGGAAGAGGCAGGAGTGACATAATGCCTCACATTACAGGCATTACAGTATTTTTCAGCTCAAACCATCCCATTCCTTTGGAAACAATCTGTAGCTTAACTTTATACTGTAATTCTCTGTAGCTGTGAATATCTGCTAAAATAATGCTGAGCTTTTTCTCCTGTGATAACTGCCCTGGGAAGGCAGACTGCTGCTCCTGCTCTGGAACCTTATGTATACAATTGCCAGAACAGAAACACTTATGAAATAATTATATTGCACAGACAAAATGCCATTTGCTTTTCCTCTACTTTCTTTAACTTCCTACTAAGCAACTGCACTAATTTGCTGTTTTAGGCTTCAATCCACTCCTCTTTGAACTTGGATTTGTAAAGTGTATCAACTAAGATTCATGAAAAGGTGCAAAGTTGCATTGTTTGTCACTTGCACTGCTATGCCTAAAATAGGACAATCAGTGAGGCTTGTCATCAGTTTCAGCTGAAGCTCTACAGAATTGCCTCAATTATCAGTTTTAATTCAGAAATGCACAAATCCAGAGTTTTATCTTAAATCCTACCTTTTCCTTGGGGTCAAAGCAATCCAGAAAAGGTACACATAACAATATGCAATTTATGCTACTTTGGGCCAGAGGGGAAGATTGCTTTGACAGTTTCAACAGTAATGCTAACACAACAGTGATAATTGGGGTTTTGCTACTTCATTCTTAGACCTAATGTATTCTGTCATTATAAACAATTATGTAAAACCAGCAAAAGAACATAACAGTACAAAAATCCCACCTGTTTCCTGCAACATCCAGGACATGGAGTTCAGTGGCTTGTGAAATTTCAGAAGGAATTCGAGACAATCTGTTGTCACGTACAGAAAAGACATTAAGACTGCAGCATCCCCCGATCTATATTAGAGAAAAAATGGGAAGAAAAAAAAGAAAAAAAAGACTATTTTTATTGCAGTACTGTAACACAAACAAAGGCATGCAGTATGGGTCACATAAGATGTCATAGCACATTCAAGTTACAATGCCTGCAAGACACGTCACCCAAGGGTACAGATTGCAAACAAGTGTTAACTTAAAAGAAGCCCGACCTGAAGCTGGCATGTTGTAGCAGTTTCTTGAACAGCTTTATTTGTGAATAATGTGTATCTTTACAAATACATCAAATTTTACCTACTTTTTATAGCCTTCCAAGCCAGGAAGAAGTCAGTAACCACACAGATGTCACTTTGTAGACTACCCTCACAAAAAATACCAGCTTTAATGTTCCATATTTCTGAGCTCAGTATTTACATATTAATTCTTTCTTTCCTCACGGTAACTTTATATACAAATGAGTGCAATGGGGCTTTAGGCAATACAAAATGCTAAATAAACCAATCAACTCCTGACATTTATTGAGTCAGCAAAGAGTAATGAAGAGTTCACAGAAAGTAGGCTTTATGAGTAACATCTCTGACGCCCTGTTTTATTAGAAGCATCTAATTTCAAAATAATTCCCATCTGAACTGGCCAATTCAATCTAATATCCTCTGTCTCTACTAATTTACCCAAACCTAAGCAGCTCAATTCCCAAGATAGTTTTGGGGTGCAAAAGATGAGATTTCAGTTTTACCCTTGAAGTGTCTGTAATTTACGTCAAAGGTACGTATTTTTCAGAAAAAATAAACCCCCTAAATTCAATTTTAAAATATTGCCTTTTTGTTCCAGATGGCAATTACTACTTCTACAAACATAAAGATTATTAGTTTTAGCAACTTGAAAACTGCCTCAAGTAACTCTTTGTTCCTAGTCACAAAAGAAACTTACCTTTGTTTGCTTATCTTATATAGCTTCAAAAAGCTGTTGTTTATTTTCCAGTGACAAAACTCAGAATGGAAAAGTTTCTTCCCTTTTTTCAAATATTAGAAGAAAAATATTCAAAGCCTTTTGAAGCTTTCAAGTCAAGCAGACTTAGAACTGAACTAAAGACAGCAAACCTATTAGAAGACCTTAGCTCAAAAATTAGGGACTTCTACAGCTACTCACATGTAAGAAGCTTCTTCTGTTACAATACAGCCAATGCCTCATTTAGTCTAAGCATCCAAATCTGAGCTGAAATTACTTATGTGTTCTAGTTAACTGTCAGATCTGTCCCTGGAAAATCTGCAGCTTCGTCCAAAATCAAGTTTTAGGTTACAGGCAAATACCACAAAAGCTTTTCCCCTAGTCAAAGCAAAAATCATTTCAATTTAACCTATGCTATTTACCGAGGAAAAGGGCATTTTAAAAAGGATGCCACTGTGAGTTAGAAAATAAAACAATCAAATGGAGCAATTATACCCCACTCACCTTCCTTTATCATATAAATACATTGTAATGGAAGAAAGCAGGTATCAGCTGCTCATAGCTTCTGATTCACAAGCTATTTAGAGCACCAAGTTACAGCACAACATTCTGTTGACAAAACAAAATCTGGGTTGGTTTCTCTGCAATCACTGCCCTCTAAGATGCCACCATTTCACAAGAGTAGCAGCTTCTCAGAGCCCGTGTGTACACAGGAGCAGCAACCTTGTTAGCTATTTTAGCTTGTGAATCAAAGCCCTTGGAAACCAGCGCTCAAACCACAAGCAAACACTTTTTAGTACAAGAATTCCGCTTGTCACTTGAAAGCATGTAAAGATTCTTAAATAATTGCCTTGACACATTCGCAGGATACGGAGTGCCATACAGAGAAAACAGGATATAAACTGTCTCATTGGTTTATCTAACACAAGGAGTCGTGAAAAGCAAAAGATAAAGTTGTGTGGATGCTGATGAGCTGGCAAGTGATGCCCTAACTGTACACAGTGCTCGCTTTTCTATGAATGAAATTTGCATTATTCAGTCTTGGAGCATGAAGACCCAAACAATTTAGGCGAACAAACAAAGTAAGCCATGCAACCCTGATGAAACTGCAATTTCTGTTACGTGTGACAATGGAAAAATGCAGCAGTGGAACCAGCCGGCCTGAGTCGTCATGCATTTAAAGCAGTTTAATGAGAGGTAACAGTAGAACCGTGGACTGAATAATACTTACAGGGTTATCAATTTACCTGACCCATAATTTTCCAAGCGGCTAACAATTAAGAAAATACAAAAGATGTTCAATTCATGTTTCTTTATCCATACTGGACAAGAGCATGCCAACAAATGGAGACAGAACATACATTATTCTACTCCTACACAGGGTTAGGATGCACAAGCTGCTGCTGTCTTCAGCTATTTTAAAGTTAATGTTTGGTTCATTCAGAGGTAGAGTTTTGTTTTTTTGGTGATTTTTTTTATTTGAAGAGGGCAGCTGAAGGGCATAACAGACAATACAGAAACCTTTGTATGAAACCTTTTCAAAACACAGGCAGCATCTAACAAGCAGTTAGCATCAGGCAAGGTATCACAGAGAAAAAAAGACAGGGTGACAGTAAAAAAACTAAAATCTTTGTCATTTCAAAAAAGATTGGACTCATTCAGCAGTACAGAAAGACATCAGGTCCAACATTTGAAAAAAAAACAAAGTGGTATCATTGAGGCACAACGCACACACCAAATGGTAAGCTGAAAGAAAAACATCACCGTGACAACTCTGAAGTAGCACAATATAGGAACTTTGTTGGTTTGGCTTAGAGTCATCGACTGACAAAGAGCCAGGCACACTCTGCTCATGCTTTCCCTGGGTGTGATCACATGCTTACAGCAGACCTCGCCAAACCGTGACGTAGGCACCAAGTCGACATTTTGGACCACAAGCCCACTTAACAGTTAAGCACATCGTTCATTTCGAGCACAAGACTTTGCTTAATGGACAAGCATGTGCTTAGGTCTGGGCACGTGAATAACTGCTCCAAAGCCTGGAGGTTTAATAGGTCCTCACATCCTTCTGAGGGGAACTGGACATCAGCAAAATGTCTCAAATGACTTGTGTTTGTCTAAGTCATAACACTTTAAATAAACATTTCATTCTAGCCACTTTATTCACTTGTCTCATCTCACCACCTGCAGAGAACAGCCAATTAAAACTCCAGATTAAAAACAACAAAAGAATGGTCAGACTGAATCTAAGGTAGAAAATGATGGTTAATATGAAGGTCTAATTTTGAGATCATTGATTCTGAAGTACTGTAAATTCTCAACAGAACTGCTTATTTGCATCTGGGGGGCTTTCTGAAGAGTATGAGTCTTCGGAGATTTCTTTTGGTTTCACACATAACTCTAGCCTTGGAGAAGCTTTGTTGGTTATCTTATTCTTCTTCTATCTCACTCTGATATTCATCTTTCATCAGCTTCTTTGTTCTGGAGAAACAGTAAGACTTGGATATGCACAGAGAACAAATTGGCTGCTATAACTCCCCTCTACATTCTGAGAACGACCGGCATCCATCACTTCTGCTTCCCATTTTTTTGAAACCCACATACCCAGTGCCAGTTCATCTTAAACAATCCTCCAGAACTTAAATTCAGCACATCACTTCTCTGCTGATGTTGCTGATGGCTCCCTTTCTCTACTGCAGACAGGTTGCTGTTCCAACACCTGCATCAGTTGCACATTTTTGATCATCTGTCTTTAGCTGCACTTTTGTGTCACGATAACCTTGTGGTTGCCATTTGTTTTTTCCTGCTGGTGACACCACTGCACCTGAATTGCAGTTTTCTGTAGATAAACCCATGAAGAGCTTACAGGTTCACCTCTGTCTTCCCTTTTAGGTCCCTCCCAAGAACTCCCTTTTGGTTCCTCTCGAGTCCAGCTGCGCAGTTACAGCCATTCATCATCACTGACCGAATCTCACTGATTGTTATGACACATCCTCATCTTGTTACTGCTCTAAAACCAAAGCACAGATTAAAGGTGGGAAACTTACAAGACCTTGAAGTTACTTTAGTTGAATAACACCTTTTGGTCTCAGCATCTGTTAACTGCTTAAACGCTATGACTCAATTCCACTGTCCTTTAACAGTTAGGTTCTTTCACACGGGTATAAAAATACAAAAGATACACCGTTGTGACAAATACCACAATTATGTTTTAGTACGTGACTAGTTGAGGCCCAGTGACATCTCTTATTTAACTCTCAGTACAGCTCTCAGCATCAAGACCTCTCACCAGGCTTTTAGAACTCAGATAAATGTACTGGAAATTTAAACACAGTTCCTGTTTTGCTGTAAAACCTTTCCCAGGGTGTCACAACCAACATTTTGTTTGGATTCAGAGCAAATAATGTCAGAATTTTCCTTGGCCCCAGATAACATGGATTAATTCCCTAATTGCAAGCACAGAATATATTTAGACATGGAAGAAACTGCCCAATTCACTGTAAGGAGCAGTATCAGCTATTACTAACTCTAAATTGGCTAGGAGGATCTTCTACAAACACAGTTCAGTATCTCCTGCACCACCAGTGAATAAATAGTGCACGAGGAGCACAGCAACAGAGCTTCCCTGCCCCCTGCTTCAAGACAAGTTTTCCTGCATTTTTCCCTAATGCCTTTTTTCTCTCTGAGAAACACATGTACAGAAACGAGGGAAGAGATGTAGGAAGTCAAAAACAGAAACAACAGAACAGCCCCAACTTGCTAAAAAAAAAAAAATAGAAATGTAAAAAGCACGGTTATTGCCAAAGAAACCCTGCAGTTTCACCTCCTGCAGTACTAATTCTCAGCCACAATATACCTCAGGGCCAGGAAGGACACATTACCAGATCTCTGTGAGTTGTAGAGACTCATTAATGAAAGCACACGAACTGGAAAACATTCCAAGGAGGTTATTTATGTAAGTGCCAAAATCAACACACCAGTTTCACCAGCGTTCCAGTGCCAGGGTGGGATTTCAATACGAAAGAGTCACCAGGCAGGTCTTTCAAGTAGAAGGGGAAAAACATTTGTAACTGCGAACAGGTTTGGACATACTCGGTTCTTGCTGCAGTCTGTTTCACTACTCAGTTCACCGAGAGAGGGATCAAGCTGCAAGATGAGATACTGAAGATGAAAACTGTGACTCAAGCCTTTGTCAGGCATTCAGCTGTTTCGCGTTTTGCCTTATACACCAACACCACATCCAGAAGAACCTTTGAACCAGGAACTTTGAAGGGGTATCGCAAGCAAATTCCTCAATAACCCCAAGTCAAGAAATGTTACACCAAAAGGTGGAGACCGGTTTTACAAGTGTGCACAGAAGCAATCTGACAGTGTAATGGTTTGCCAGGCTGACCCCAAATCCAATCCAAGTAAACTGGTAACAGTTAGAAAACAAAAAAAAAAAAAAAAGCTAAAATGGAGAATTTATCTCACCAGACTATATTACAATATTACAGCAGGCACACAATTTCTGCCATTATACCTAGAAACGTTCCCTTTGCTACAGGAATAATTCTGGATGGACCAATAAAGGTACCAGTGTGCAGACATGATTATCAGTCTCATGTGTTCTTCTCTATAACATAAAGCTCCACGTTTTCTACATGCATTTTATCAGACCCTGCATCTTTGTCCCTCTCCAAGATAAATCAGTAAAATTACGTCACACACCCATTTTTATAAGGACGAAGACCACAGTTGCACAGCTGGTGTAGCAGTTCTGTATAGCACAGGAAGGAAGAGAGAAAGGAGCCAGGAAAACAGGGGAAGATACCAAGCAAGATTATCTGTTATGCACACTCCACTCTGCTTCTGTGAAGGGGGAACCAGCATACAGCTACTAATACTGATGGACATGTAAAGGTCTGAGACCCCAATCTTCACCGCACCATCTCAGGAGACATCTTGAACAACACACAGCAGGCTACTGGCTGGCTTGAAGGATTAATTAGTCAGTTTGAGATGAAAATAAATGGAAAGGACAGTATGCTCTCTCACTACCAAGCAGAATGTTCCAAGAAACAGATAATGGTGATGTATTTTTCAGTTTAGGTGCTCTATTGATGCATTTTTAGTTTTTTTTTCCAAGTCAGTAATTGCAAGAAGGAAAGTAGAAACAGAACATGTCACCAGAACACCACATTGTTCCTCCCTGCCACCCAAAGGGAAAAAGATCATTTGCCTCTACCACTGCATCAGCTGTTGATGTATGTTACCATTACTAGCTCAGAATTCAAACCCACTGATCTAGAGGGTGGATACAACCCTCCAGTTTGAGAACTTCCTTCCTTTAAAAAAAAGCAAAACATATCTAATGAAACATTCTGTTACATGCGATTTCAAAGTGTTTGTTCAAATGAGAAAGCCATTTAGGTGTGGAGACCTTTCCAGAAAAACAAACAAACAAAAAAAACACAACAATCTATTTCAAAGAAGTGGATGCCAAGGAGCTGTTTCCTCTGTTTCTCTGCCAAGCTTGCTGTGAATCACCCCCTCCCATCTCTATTTCATGGGCTTTCTACAATTTCTCAGCTCATCTCATTCCAGGTACCACTTCTCATTTCCTCATGAGCCACCTCCCTCGAACACGAACTTGTCCCATAGTTAATGCCACTCCTTCTGCAAGTGCCCCCTCCCCCTTCTCTCCAATTCCAGAAGTCCAACGTCCAGCAATGTTTTCCACACACATTCTTGTTCTTCACTTCACCCTTCCATATCCCCACTCCTTCAGTGATTGGGCAATGCTTTCTACCTCTGCCATCCACTTCTGATTCCCAGTCCCCTGTTTCTTGTTCAGCATCAATACTTTTTTTTTTTTTTTCCTGTACCAAGCCCTCAGTTCTGCCACCCCTCCCAAACAGATGTATCCCATATTTATCCTGTTTGACTTATGTCTGAATCTGAAGCACATCAGCAAAACCTTCCATGCTGTAACAGCCCAATTCTGTTTACAGCTACACTAGACAAAAAATTGTACAAGTCTCAGGTACAGATTGCTTAGGCCACTCACGAAATATATTAAGGTCTTTGTAAAGACACAGAAAGCTTTCTGCTGAATGAGCACAAAGATCAAACTGTCATTAGATCCCAACCCAGGAACAGTTTTCCCAAGATCCCGTCGCTTGGTAGCATTTATGCAATCCGTCTGGGTACGCCCTCGGTAATTTTCTCTTTAGAGCAAGTAGCACCTCTGCGGAGGAGACACTGTCCTGACAGGGAAGCTGTAGTACTCACACCTTTCTCCTCCCGCCCTCACCCCCACTCAACCACACATTTACAAACCAAACCAGAAAACAGTAAGGGCTATCGTGTAGCCCCTTCTGTGTAACCAACCCAAGGAAGCTCACAGCTTGGTCATTGGAGAACTACTTGGACAAAAATAATAGAAACAGTGGTGCAAAAGGAACTAACTCTCAATCACATGCTCCTACCTATCACAATTACGCTGCTTTCTCTTTTAAATATCAATCCTCTCTCTTTCCAGAACTGAATGTTGAACTAAGCTCATAAGACCATTATTGTTTTCAGTTTCACATCAGAAATTCTAGCCTCATTTCACTCCATACACTGTTATGACGGACAAGAAGCACTTCAAGGAGCACTTTCAGGATTTCTTTACTGTGAGTGACTGAGATCCAAAGATGTGGAGTTTTCCCCCTCGCAGATCTTCAAGGTCCCGAGCAACCTGCTCTCGGTTTCTGTGCTTGAGCCAGGAGGCTGGACCAGATGACCTCCCGAGGTCCCCTCCAACCTCACCCGTTCTGTGTTTCTGTGAAGAAGTCCTAGTGATCATAGCGGTAAGATGTCAGGTATCAGTGATGTGGGTCACCTCAGGTCCTCACATTTAAAGGTAAAGTTAGCCTAAGATCTCCAAACCCAAGAAAACTGTCCAAAAAAATGTTTTCCAGAATTAGAAAACTTCCTTCCACTCCTGCTCACATGAGTGAGGCTAGGAAGGCTCCTGGCAGTACTTTTATACTGCTACTAAACATATCTACGTTTAAGTGTATTCACTCAAACAGAACTTTCAGTCCTCAAATAGTGCTGGACCTGACATCCACATTGGGAATTACTAGTTACAAGTTGATTAGATTTGGGCCTTTTTGTTAAAGTGCAAACACATTTTGTACTTCCAAGGCACCAAATCACCACAGCTACTGTTCAGATTTACACGGATCAGAGCTAATGGACAAGTTTCCAGTTGTGATTTTTCTGGGAAGAATATCCAGTGGTTCAAAGCTGCCTGTTACTTCTTGTAGGCATGTGAAATCAGAGTTTTTTGTTTGTATAATCACATCTATTAAAGTTAATTGCACAAGACTTACCTCTTTGGGCAAAGATGTTAATTTGTTTCTATCGGCATTCAAATTATTCAGCTTCTTTAGTTTCCCGATGCTCTTCGGCAATGTCTATGCCAACAAAAACAAAGTAATAAGCAAATTAATTTTGTAAATTCACAAAGTCAGAACGAAAAATTTATCTCACTTTAAAAACGAATTAAGAGACTGACTGATTTTCAAAACTGGCACTTAGTTATCCCCAGTCATTAACACGCCTTCCAAAGTCGTTCCAAGGTCTTATCTCGCAGAGGAAACATTCAAGAATTTCAGTTTCTAACTCATGAGTGAATTTGTGTTATCTCTGCAGTAAGATGACAGATGCACAACAGCTGTTAACAGAAGCATGTATGCAGGATGTCCGTATTATCTAACTTGAGTGTCACTAAATAGCTAATTGAAAGGCAAACCTCTCAGTCAGGTGCCATGAACCGACCTCTGCAGAAGTCTCTTTCCAACAGGCTTAAGCTCCTAATTTCACCAAGCACCAACATAACTTGAGAAATGCTCAAAGTCAGATTCTTATAAACACTTCTACTTTCAATTTCAAATGTCAGCATCACGTGAAGGCAATTTTAAAGCAATGGAAGGAAACACCTAGTGGAAAGGAGTCTCAGATTTCATTTTAATTGACCACATGTCATATTGGTCATATTTATCTGACTGGAGTAGAACAGCAGAGCAAGAAACAGTGCAACAGTAGCTCTGTAGCACTTGGGGTTTCTGTTCAGTTCCAACAAGTCTGATCAAGGTAATGTACGGCAAAAATTGGCAAAAACACAGTGCAGCACAAACTCCACATTAAAAACACAACAAAGTAAATGATATCTGCACTCCAGGTGCTCCAATTCCCTTAGTGATCATGAAAGATTCAAGAGTGAATATGTAATTGCTTAGACTTTTGGGGAGAGAATTTTTACTACACAACTTGATCTTCAGCATTCATTTAACAGGTTAGAAATAAGATGCATCTAAAGGAAGCTTGCTACGTAGCAAGAAGTGATGGTGATTCACTTACAAGCCCAGTGAATCAACACTTCGCAGCAGGTCTTACTACTGCCAGCAATTTGAGCAGTCACGACCACACTTACCTGCAGCTGGTTCTCTGTTAGAACTAGTTCTGTAAGGCTTTCACAGTCTCCAATTGAATCTGTTAGTTGAATGAGTTTGTTCTGGTCAACCTTCAAAATGGATAGTTTCCTCAATTTTCCTGGACAGAAAGAACACCACGTTTGTTTGGCTTAGTGACCTCAGATACCCTGCTTTAATTATAGAAAAAGCATTCTGCCGTAAACCTTTCAGAAATTCTCTAACCCAATGAAATATTTTTTTTCATGTAATAAAAATTCAAGCAGTGCTTCACTTGGCACTTGTAATATTTTTGCAAGTTTGTTTATCTTGAATATGAATTCAATGATGTAATAGTCATCTTTCAGCATATTAAGTTGTATTAAAATTACAGTCTGAATGGTACTCCATCTAAAGGCAAGGACTAAAAGTTAAGTGTATTCTCAAAGGCCTATAAACAGAGGAAAAAATTATTTTCCCCCTCAATTATTCCATGTTTACTAATAAATTATTCCATGTTTACTAATAAAGGAGTTCTCAGAAGATCACCTGTCTACTCAGCCACAATAAGAAAGGCTTGCACTAGAGTGACTGCCCAAACCCAAACAGGATCACGTCTTTGTCCTAATATACAAGCCAGTCAGTCGAACACAAAACCCAAGTTTATTTTTTAGAACAGAGACCAAACTTCTTTGAAGGTCTTCTCTCCAGGAAGGCCAAAATACTATTTCAGAGCAGAAAGCTCCTTTATGCCAGAGTGATCTTTCGTGCACTGTGCAAGGCAGAGCTGACCCAGGCAGAGCCCAGGGCAGAGAATTCAGGAGACATGAGCTGCTGACGCCTCCCTGCTCATCCCCACTGTCCACAATAGCTCCAACAGGCCAGCACATCAAACTTGCTGCTGATGCTAAATCATGAAGACATGGCTGATGTACGGAAAGGCAGCCACGTAAAAAGAAAACCCGGAGTCCAGCAAGGTGATGTACGGAGCTCTGCACCTGGACAGAATAACCTGTACAGGCTGGGAAGTGACCAGCTGTACAGGAGCCTTGCTGGAAATGACCTGAGGACTACAGTGGACACCAGGCTGCATATGGCTTAGCAGTGAGATGGCACCAGAAATGAAGTAAAAAGTACATGGGCTACATTAGGGGGTAATTTCAGCCAGAAGGTCAACAGAAGTTACTGTATTTCATCTCCTGGGCACTGGTGAGCCCACACCTGTAAAAGCAGGCTCAGTTTCACATCCCAGTGTGGAGAAGCGGATGGGGGCCCCACACAAAGCTGCTGAGGCAGCAGGGATACAATGTGAGCTGAGGATGAGGGAGCTGGATTTGTTTACCACAGAAAAAGGCAGCCAAGGAGGCATCACGGAGCAGCCCACAACTACTCAGAGCCAAACTGTTCTGCAGTGGCAGGTGAGACAGCAGTGGCCACAAATTCAAGCGTGGGAGGGCCCAGTGGGACATCAGGAGAAGCTTCCTCAGGGGGAGGTGGTGGCTGCCCAGGGGATGCTGTAGCAGCCCTGTTAGGGGCTTCAGAGACCTGGCAGAACTGCTACAGCTGGTGTGAGGGGCTGGCGGTGGTCAGAGCCCTGCTCTGAGCAGGAGCCTGCACCAGGTGACTTCTCCAGACCCAGCAGGCCAACCAACACTTCAACGATCAGCTGAGCTCCTCCCAGAAGCTTCCACAGAGTTAGAGACATCCCTGCCCAATTTTCCAAACACAATTAACTTATTATAGTCACCTACGTAGCACTTTTTTGTGCTTATGACAAAAGCACATTCAAGAAAACATTATAAAAATGATGCAAACGAGGCCTGGCCCTCCGCAGTCACCTCCCCCAGCACCAGACCTGCGTTTAACAGGGTTCTCAGGAACAGGCAGCTCCTCTCGTCCACCAACTGGTGTTACAGACAAGCTCCCCTCTTGCAAGCTGTGTGCTCTGTACGCTCTCAGAAGATAACGCATCATTTCCCCAGCTCAGATCATCAGAAAGGGCTGCTGCAGCCACCTCCCAAGCACACACTACTCAACTGTAGGACCCACAATACTCACCCCACACCTCTATATTTAATTTCTAGAGAAATATTTGTCTTTTCTCAGGCTTACACAGCATACAGAGAGAACGGGGAGGTCTGTCCATTCTTTGCCACATTCTTATTTAAACCAAATTCACAAATCCTCCTTCCACTACCTTTTTAAAAAAAGCACCTGGCCAGGAATACTCTTCCAACATGAAACCTTCTGGAAAAACAGCTGATGAGTAGTAAAGAAATAATGCCTCACTAACTACTGCATGGGCAAAAATATTTGCTTTTAAAAAGGCGCTGGTAATGCTTCAGGAAACATTCCTCAATTACTAAACCTGTTATAAAGGGTCAGGCACTGAAAGGTTGTAGTTTGGATCCTCAAGGGTGAAGGCTGAAGCTGGAACAGCCTTCCACTGGGTTCAGTACAGGATTAACCACATTGTTCGGTTCAAGATAATTACACATCCCACTAAAGAGGATGTCTTTTTTGTAGTGATACTGTCGGTCAGTGTTATCAAGTGACCTACAGCATGTTACAAGCTAGAATTTTACACTGCTGGGGAGTTCTGACTGTGACGTGGACACAGTAGGAATAGAGATGTCATTAACTTTTAGTTTGTTCTAGTAGCTATCAAGTGCAGGCCAAAAAAGAATTAAGAGGTAGTCATTATGCTGACAATTAAAATGCAAAATTAATAGAGCTATGTATTTCACACTAAGGAAAAAAAATAAGACAAACTCATCTCTTACAAAGAAAGAGAAGACTTCAAAAGACTTAAAACCAAGCGACTTCCAACTTGCAGAGGATTAAATGGTTCTGCATGGCAACGTTCACCTTGTACTTACCAATGCCATCAGGTAGGACCTGAATTAAGTTCTGAGAAACAAGCAAGTCTGTTAAAGAAGTCAGACCATTAATTTCTTCAGGAAGGCATTCCAATTTATTTTCAGAAACATCCAGACAAAGCAGGTTTTTCAGGTTTCCTACTTCCTGCGACACAAGATGAAATGTAAGTCGTGTTCAAACATGCAGCAAAGCAATTTGAAAAATGTACGATCACCATGAAATTCCAGAAAGAAAAGCAATTCTTTGCGTGACCTCCAAGTCCTGAAAAAAGGAGGTGGGTAAATTTTCCGTGATAACCCAACTGAGAGATTCAGTTGGGGTTTCTTGTTCTAAATACTACTACTGGCCTCAGCAGCCAGACAAGGCGTGCGAAGCAC